GTCCAATCTTAGCATGCAAAGTTGTTAAAAAATGTCTTTATTTTGTACTTAGCATGTAGTTGAAGTTATTTATGTAATTTTCACATGAATTTTTTTCCATATAAGTTATATTTTTGTTAAACATTGAACTTCTAGTATGATTATTTTATAGACATTGTCTTCGTCCCCTCAAATATGAAATCTTGGACTCCACTGCTACCTACAAGTGAGGAACATAATCATGTACCGGCATTTGAGCTTTCTCAATATCTAATCTTAATAAAGCATGACTTGAAACATTTAAGAATTATACTTTAATGCAACCAGAATTTCTAACTATAACATGTTATAATTTTCTTTACAAAGTATGTCTAATTTCATAGGTTTTATCCTATTAGAAAATAATAACAATTATAAAAATAAAAATAAAGAAAATTTTTATTAAATAAAATGTTTAAAGTCTCTATCCGACTAATTGATTTATAGGGCATACATTAACTCCATCCTCTAAAGGACTCATTTAGTATTGTGTTTGCGGTATTACATTGTGCTTGTGGAAATTAAAAGTACTTGTAGCCTTATTACAATGTCAAATACATGTTGATTTGGCTCTAAACTTTTTGAGTGTCAAACGACCAAAATACTCATTTCTATCTTTTAAATTACAAAATTATCTTTTTAATTATTAAAATATTTTGAATTTAAAAATACAATTTGAGTACCTTTCAAATGAAAAATTAAAAAGTATGGTGAAAATATACGTATCTAATTTCTAGTTTAAAATGATTTTAATATTTTAGAAAATTTAAATTTTTTCATATAGAGTTGTAAAATTAAATTTCACAATAATTTAATTTTTATAGCATCTTAAAAAATAATTACTTAAAAATATAAGAGTTCACTCTTTTTTTTTTTCTTTTCAACATCACATTCTTTTTAAAATATTTGAACTCTTCACAATACGATTTGACAATAATTTCTGACAGCAATTTTTAATATATATTTTTCCCAACTCGAGGGTTTTCGTAACAATAATACCAACCTAAACACTATCTCTGCAACGCCAAGGTTTGGTACGCCTGTACCTCTCACACCGGGCAAGGCAACGTGGTTGAAATGACAGCCGACACGTGGGCATTGCCATCTCGTACGGTGCAAAGTACCCAATCTCACTTAATCTCTCTCTTGCATGCATTTGCATGGAGATCCCAAATGACAGTTGTCTTTGGGCTGTCTGATTTTCCTGCTGATTTTCTACTTTTATTTAATTCTCTTAAACAAGTACTAGTAAATAATAATGCAGACAATGCAGATAATATAATAATAATAGATAGAAGAAAGATGGACAAAAAGCACAGCCTCAGAGGATCTGTGCGTGTTTTGCCCTTCCATTTTCCTTCTGTGTATGTGTGTGGGGTGTGGCAAGGGACTAGGGTTAGGGGTGTTTGACTTTGATACCCAAATAACTGGGTTTGTGGGGACGAGGTTTTTGGTAGTGATGACACTTTGCTGCTCTGTTTTGACGCCCGTTGCCAAAAAGTCACTGCCTAAAGTATTCATATCTTACAGGTCACAATCTTGAATTCCAGATCTTTGATGTTTAAACTAGGGTAAAGGAGAATCTATATGTGTTGGCACCTAGATTTGTGCTCATCGTTTTTCATTTAGAATCTATTTTATTTCTCAGTTGCATTGTAGATCCAAAAATTTGAGATTTGGGTGCAATGCATAAAGGTCAAACTTGATTACATATACTAATAAAATAATAATGTTAATTAAATTTTACAAAAAAAAAAACTATTCAAACATATCAATATAAAATTTTACGAAACTCACATATAATAACAAATTAATCAACGCATTCGAATGGTAGATATATTGTGATTCAATTATTATGTAAAATTAAAGATACATTGCAATTATACCTAGATACTAGTTTATAGTTTTAAAATGAGGAAGTGGTACAAAATGTTATTATTATTATTATATAGATTAAACATCATGCACTTTTGGTTTATGGCGTACGATACTCTCCGACACACGTATTATTTAATTTATACTTTATCCTTTGGGTTTAAGGTGTTGGATTTTTCGGCTACGCCTGTATGAATTTAAGCTTTCAAAAATTATTTGGACTGTGCCAAGTGAAGTGATTAAATGTAAAGTTTCAGATGTGACAATTAATTTGTTCATAGTTCATACATATTTCCCTCACAAGACGGTGCTCCTTCCATGTGAAAACACTATACATTACTTGTTCTCTTCCCCCTGCCCCCCCAAGGGTTGTAATGTTTGGCCATCTCCTTTTAGAGAGCAGGAAATTTTAAATGCAAGTTGGGGTGTTTCATATCTTTAATGTGTTGCAGGTTCTGAAGTTGTATGAATAAAACAAAACAAGGGAAGGAAAATCATGGGTATATTCTAACATTTTGGCATAACTTTAACATTAAGGCAACCTCTCTCATTTCCACCCCAAAGACACAAAATGTAGGACCAGTATATTGACTGCTGGTTGTGATGCTAAACTCATGGATATATACTAGAGACAATTATGGGTAAATTTTGATAATAAAAGAGAGAAATAATCAAAATATATATTTTAAATTAATTGTAATAAGTCTAATTCCTAAAATAACAAGTCAATAATAACATCAATGTAACCCTTTGGGACTATCTTCCATGCATGTACACCATCATAACCTAGCCAATTGTCCTGTCTCTGTCGCTTCTCCATCACCAAATTCAACTCAAAAGTAATTTCTACAAAGAAAAAAAAAGGTTGTATTTATTTGTTACTTCTGTTGTTTGTTATTAACTTTTGTGATTTTTTTAACACAAAAAAGGGTATTTGGAAAAAAAAATCAATAATACATTTAAAAAATGTTATATTTTAGTTTAATTTTTTAACTAAATGACAAAAAAGTATGATTTTACTTTTTATATTAAATAATTACTTTTAATTGATTTTTTTGGAACAATTACTAATATATATTTAAGCAAACATGATTTTCACCTTGTAATAGTTGCTTTCAAATTATAATGACCAATATAAATATAAGAAGAGCTGTATATGATTGGCCTATCTAATTAATTGCTACATGATACCTAATTTTTTTTGGTATTGTTAATTATCATTAATATTGTTTTCGAGTTTCCCATCTTTGCTATGAAATGATAAGCATTTCCATCAAAGGTACTCTATACTTGAACACATGAAAAGCACAATGCATACAAAATTTACAAAGACAAAAAAAAAAGAAGAAGAAGAAGAAGAATGAAGTTGGAGAAAACTCGAAAAAGCTAATGAATCACATGATATGATAGTTGAAGCTAGGATGGGGTGGTGAAATGGGTCAATTGAAGAGGATAATGATGATAATTAGACATCCCATTTTGTACTTTTAGTGGGGTGTAAGGGTTGTGTATGTATATAGCATAAAATTGTCTCAACTTGAAAATACATGCTCAACCCTCCATATGTTTAAACACAAGACATTTGGTCAGCATTTAATAAATAATATATAAATACATATATAGTTTTCTTTGGACAGATAATATTTATGTTAATAAAATTGCCACCGGATGCTTGAGATTGGATTAAACAAATAGACATTTTGTAATTAAGTGGTTTTCCTTTGTTGTTGTTAACCCATCAATCCAAGTCAACTTGAGGGTCATTCCCCAACAATGCATGGAAGTTTCAATGACTCTGAGCTTTCCCTTTCGTAATACCCATTCAATATTTGTGTAATTTTCCTCATCTCAGTCCAATGTTACTACACGTGTGCAAAGACATAATCAACCTATTTCTCTTCTCATTTTCCTTGCAAATAAATTATCCATAATATTCTAATTAAACCATATTTAACATCTTTTATCTTTTGACAGCACGAAAAACTTTTCGTAATAAATGAAACTCGAAGAAATAAATTACTCGATTTTCAAATAAAAACATGATATATCGTGTTGACGTGTTTTAAGGACACTTGAAAGCGGTACATACAAAAATATAAATATTCAATTATGGTTAATTTTTCAGACATAATTTATAATTAATTTTTTATATAAAAACCTAATTGTATATATTAATTATGATTAGAGTCAAGGTAAATAGGTATTAGTACCTAACAATGCATAGACTGACTCCAACAAGGTAACACCACTTCTCCAAAAAGTTGAAGGAAAGTTGGTCTTCATGTCATCAGAGTCATTAATGTTTAAAATGTTAACCAAAAAGCTTGGGGCAGAAGCTACGTTTTCACCAAGCAGGATGAGAAAGAAAGAGAGAATGAATGACATCAGTGGTGGCGTTTATGATCAAGTCAATCTCCTTTCATTTGCTGCAAACTCCTATTTGGTTTGGAATAAGCTGTGATGTCAATCTGAAAATGACCTCTTTATGACACATTTCTCTGCCCAACAATTTCCAGGAAGTTATTTTCTAGTCTCTTTACCATCAACTTGAACAAGAAAAGAAAACAGAAACAAAAAATCAAACCCACAATTTCATTTTGCTTTCTATTATATAGCCTCCTTCATTTAAAATTATATATCAATTTTTCAACACCCATTTTTATTTTTTATTTTTTATTTTTAAAAGTAAATATAGTTTTTAAGTGTGTTATGTGGTTACAATCGTGTTGAGTTTTTGTCTAAGTTTGTTTTGAATTTTTTTTAATTATATTTTCGGGTTTAGTGTCAGCTTCTATTATACTTAATAAAATAATTTTATTTGATTGAGAAAAAAATAGTATAGAATTGAAAATTTTAAAATTTTTCATCGAAATTGTAGAAGGAAAAAAAAGAAGAAAATAATTTTTTTTTTCAAAAAAATTGTACTAACTAAGAGAAAAGAAAAGAAAAGAAAAGAAAAGAAAAGGAAAGGAAAGAAAAGAAAAAGAAACGAAACCTCTAACAAGTAGTCCATCCACGTGGTTGGAACTTGAGAAACAAAACCAACGCTGTTTGGGGTCTTTAAATTTGCAGTTGCTGTCTCTGTCTAACATATACAATATAAGCAGCCCGAGGTCGAAGCTAGCAATGGTAGTTTCGTTTTTGCATTGAGACTTGAAAGAGTTTGGTTTTTCAGAGAAACAGAAAGAGAGACACAAGGAAAGCTGAAATCAAGAACCAAAACCCAACAAACAAATATCTCAACAATCCTCTGCTTGCCCATTTTACCCAACACCATTCTTTCTGTTTTTTTCTTTTCTTCCATCCCTTCCCATCATCATACGATTCAAGGTAATGCTTTTTTTTTTCTCTATTCTATACTGCTTTCTTCACAAATGGTGGTCTGTTATATCTGTTTTTCTTTTGGTTTTGATGACATGGGTGTTATTGGATTGTTGTTGTTTGATCATATGATTATGTTGTCATGTGCTTTTCTTAAGTGGGGTTCTGGGATTGCTTTTGTTTGATGGTTTTGGCAGATCCACAGTCCATTATTAAAGGATGCTGATAAGGGTTTCTGTATTTGGTCTTTGATTGAATGAAATGAGTTTCTTTTTTCTTTCCCGAGATTTTCAAAATTGTTCGTGTTTAATGAATAGTTTTGATTGTTAAATCGACCTTCCTTGGTTCGAATGCATAGCTCCAATGGGTACTTTGCTTCTTTGGTTATATAATCTCTCTCTCACTTATTAAACAATGTGAAGAAGAGAAAATGGATTGCTCTTGTTTCTAATAAGGTGGAAGGTTTCTTGATGGGTTATCTGCAACATGTGCTCTGGTTTCTGACAAATAGTTACCGATTTTATTTACAACAAGCATCTTGCTTTACTTTGTATCACTGATACCTTGTATATTTGTTATATAAAACGCTTAACTGAATTCAGTTTTTTTCACAGAAATCAGTGCCCCTTGTTGTCGGATGGGCGTTTCTTTTTCCTACCCATTTGCAAAATGCAGTGATGCGGACAATGGCTTAGAATCTGTCATTGTGAAATCCGTTAGTTTTGGAGATGATGAAGTCAAAACACCTGTTAGATCTATCAGTTTCAAAAGTTTAGATTCAGAGCCCACGATATTAAAATCAGTAGGTTCTGGAAAGATGATACTGGAGGGATCTGTTAGCTTTAAAGGGATAGAGTTGGAGAGAATGCTTTCAGTTAAGACTCAATTAGGTAGAGCAGAGAATTTGCCCATTAAAGCTATCAGTTTGAAGAGCAAAGCAATAGATATTCAAACCCCAAAACCCGATACATCCGTAGAGACTCCAAAACAATTACCAGTTTTGGATCCCAGCAATCCACAACATGAGGCTGCAATAAGATTGCAAAAAGTGTACAAGAGCTTTCGAATAAGGAGAAAGCTAGCAGATTGTGCAGTTCTTGTTGCACAGAGCTGGTGCGTATTATATTTATATGTTCTATATCTGACCTATCTATACAGAAGTTTTTCTTTTTTTTTTTTTATAATGCGATTGTATGTTGTAATGCAGGTGGGAGCTCTTAGATTTTGCTGAACTCAAGAGGAGTTCTATATCGTTCTTTGATATAGATAAACATGAAACTGCTATTTCACGTTGGTCAAGGGCGAGAACTAGAGCTGCTAAGGTTGGAAAAGGTTTATCAAAGAATGATAAAGCTCAAAAGCTTGCTTTGCAACACTGGCTTGAGGCAGTAAGTCAAATTGCAGTAAAAACGAGCTTAATTTACCGTTGTACTTCATTCTCTGTTACTTATTCCAGTTTCATGTTATTCAGATTGATCCAAGGCATCGTTATGGACATAATTTACACTTCTATTATAATCAATGGCTCCAGTCTCAGAGTCAAGAACCCTTCTTCTACTGGTAATTTTCTTTAACTGAGAGTTTTGTTTGTTTAGTATGATGTTCTGATATTAGGTTGAATAAATTAAAACTGAAAATGGTTATGCTTGTTCCGAAAATGCAGGCTGGATATTGGAGAAGGGAAGGAAGTAAATCTGGAAAAATGTCCTAGATTAAAGCTTCAACAGCAGTGCATCAAATATCTCGGTCCGGTGGGTCTTTATTTCTTTTCTTCACCAAACTTTATCTGGATTTATATTCAAACTTTTACTGAAATAATTATCCACAACACAGAGGGAAAGGAAGCCCTATGAAGTTATTGTGGCAGATGGAAAGTTCATCTACAAGCAAACAGGGAAGCTTCTCCATACCACTGGAGAAGATCGCGATGCTAAGTGGATTTTTGTCCTCAGCACATCAAAGATCTTGTATGTTGGCAAGAAGAAGAAGGGTACATTTCAACACTCTAGCTTCTTGGCTGGAGGTGCCACCATTGCTGCTGGAATATTAGTTGTTGATAGTGGTGTCCTCAAGGTATAGCTATGCATAATATCTTTTTTCTTTTGGTTTTTTGTTTACTGCTTTGTGCTCTCTATGTGTTGAGACAATCTCTTAACGATGGTTGCTTGTTACTCTCTTCAACAGGCTGTTTGGCCTCACAGTGGTCATTATCGTCCCACAGAAGAAAATTTTAATGACTTCATTTCATATCTAAGGGAGAATAATGTGGATCTAACAGAT